GGCTTGTAAGATGGAGATGCCAGTAGTAGTTATTATATAGCTATTTTCATGAGGATTGGCTAAATTAAATTTTTTAAAGCTCTTAGAACAATGCTGAGCACAGGGTAGCACTGTGAGAGTGGTTGCTAAGCTACTATTCTTCTTTTGCGCGTCGAAAATGTTTTATAATTAAATAATTAAGCCTGGTTATCAGGTACTCAAATAGAACAATGGAATGTGGAACCGTGAAGACACTTGCTAGGCAAGCAGAGCAGGATCCATCGGCATGAAGGCCACCCTCTCACCCTGCTCCAGCTCCTCTCCTCCTGCACCCACCACCGCAATGCCCCACAGCCACTGTGTATTTTCCACTCTGACTGACAGCGACATAGTCGAGGCCTCACGATCTTTCCCGGACAATTTCTGGAGTCTCTGACAGGCCCCTCTTCCCAGAATCTCACCTCCAAACCATTTTACAATCTGGTCACTAGTGCTCCCTTGCTCCAACACCTTAAGTGGCTCACAGCTACCCACCCAATTAAGTTCAGAAGCTTCTGCCTGGCATTCAAAGCCCCCTCTATCTGACCCCCATTCTCTTTCATGCCTCCTACACCTCAGGCTGGTGGGCCTGCTCCACATCCCTGCTTCTGGGCCTTTGCTTAGGCTGTGGTCACCTAGGATGCGTCTCCATCTCCATCTTCCTGAAGTCTCGCTTCTACCGCAAGTTCATCTCACGTGGGGTCTGGTCTTCCTCTGAACCTCAGAGTTCTTTACCTGAACCTCTCTTCTGACACAACGTTCTGTCTGAGCCGCTTTGGGACCTTAACATCCTATCTGCTTTCTCGGGACCTGGTTCGGTGAGATTGATCAGACTCTACTCCTTGAGCAGGGGATCCTATCGGGAGGCAGGTGGGAGCCGAGGGCTCCACACGGTGTCCTGACAGCATCCAAGGGTAACTCCATATAGGTGACAGGGACAGAATTCAGGCGTGAGAGCTGAACTCGTGGGTAAGACCAGAAGATTCACACAGAGGGGAGCGGGCAGAGCTGGGGACATTTCCTGGCGTTGGGGAGTGATGCTACTGTCCCTGTGAGTGAGGAGGGAGCTTCCGGGGTGCAGAGCCAGCTGGACTTCCTCCGCCAGGCCTCCATCACTCACGCGCTTGTCCTGTTTTCATCTGTGACACCACTGACATTGTGCCCAGTGTGGCTTCCCCACAGCACTCTGCACACCCCGCAGCACACATTGGGCTGGAACACAGGTGACAGACCCGATCAGTGTGCACGAGCAGGGAATGAACATAAAGGCTGAGGAAGCACCTGGTGGGCAAGTGGCAGAGAAATGCAGGCAACGAAGGGCCAAGACCAGCCAGGGGACCCCCACTTCCCTCCCTGCTCCACTCCGCTGCCCTCTGCTTCCTCTTCTTCCTAACTCATCACCAATTCGGAATCAAAGAGCAGGGCTGCAGGGGTCTTGGGTCCTCCACCGCCCTAGGCAGCCCCACTGGGGAGTCTCAGGACCCTGCCTGACCTTTAGTGACCTCTGAGGATGGAGGGTCAGCCTGCCACATTCCCAGGCGCCGCCCTCTGCTCTGGAAACTGATGTTTGAACCCCACAGAAAAACTAGTGATGACAAACATGTTTAGATTTATTACATGCCTGGCTCTGTGCTGAGAAAGTCACCTGGATCATTTCATTTAATCTCGCACTAAAATGATGAGAGAGGTATGCCTATTAACCCATTTAGAGAGGAGGAAGTCGAGTTCAGAGAAGTTAAGTAATATTTCTCTAGCCAACAGCGAGGAACTGGAGAAGCCAGGATCTGAACCTACGTCCATGTGACTAACTACTGTTAAAGGAGCATGTTGGTCAAAGAAAAAGGGGGGACCAGGTTCAAGGGAAGGTTCTCCTTCCGTACATCAGGGCAGGAGAAACTGGGATCCTACTCAGTTAATGAGGAGGAGTTGGCCTCGGAGGAGGCTACCGGGGGAAAGAGAGGGCACATTCCAGGTGGCCTTCAACTCTCCACTAACCCAGGAGAAATTTATTCTCAGTACAAGGCAGGGGAGGAGTTGGGCCTGCGCGGAATGAAGAAGGTCAGTTCCTTCGCTGTGGGGACAGGCCTGAGCATCCTCAAGCTGAAGGACAGGCCTGCAGAATAGAACAAAAGGCCCCTCGAGCTGGCTGCCGTGATCTTACACCTCAGTGCTGTGAACGGGAACAGCTTCGGAAAAGAGCTTTGTCTGTCTGTTGACTCTGATTTAGCCTCTGGCTGTCAGCTTGCCTTGTCACTGCGAAGCATCCCGCAGAAGCGTCTGGGGATAGGAACCTGTTATCTTTCCTCCATCCCTGGGTTGGGTGAAGCCCCACTGGGAAGTCACTTTGTCTTCCCCAGGGAAGGGGTGCACAGTGCACACCCCCAGTCCATCAGCTCACCCTGCCATCACCACTGGCAGCCCTTCACCCCAGCACTGCAGCTGGCCCGGGCGGGGCTGAGGGCCTGGAGGCTGGAATTTCTCAGGCCACCCGGCAAGCCTTCTGCAGGGCGCTCACGGCTCCTGGCTGTGCTGGACAGTGAGTTATTGCAGCCTGTTATCTTCAGCAGCAGGTGGAGGCATCCTGGGCTCCTTCCTGCAGAGCGAAGCCAGGTAATATTTACTGGCTCAAATGAATAGGTAGCCAGTCCTGTCACAGAACAGAGGATGTGTCTCTCACCCAAGGGTGTGTTTTTTCCCTCCTTTCTTTCTTCATTATGTTTGTAATTTTGTTTTATTATTTCCCATTGGAAAGCTGTGAAATGAAAATGATGCAATCTACTGCTGTGAAATAATGTCGTGCTCCAGTCCTTTTCCAATAAGCCCCGAGGTCTGCACTGTGACGGCTTCATTAAATTAGCCGGCTCCATGGCAAATGGAAAAGCGCTCGGAGCTTTGGATTTTGTTAATCTGGGTTGGGCTGCCGGAGACCTCAGACCACCGGGGAGCTCAGGAAGTTGGCTCTGCATGCTGGGGAGAAGAGGTTCCCACTCACCCTTTGCAAAGTCCCAGAGGCCACCACATGTGCACAGCTGCTCACCCTCTCCTGTAACCCTCCAACCTTCACCGTGCTCCTCTGAATGCCAGATGCTGCCCTTGGTGTTGTCACATATGAAAGGAACAAAGGTCTCTCCAGGGACACAGTGGAGAACGGCTCCATGTGTGGAGCGGGGGAAGGGAGAGGGTTTGGTTATACTGCAGGTAATCCACCACGGTGGGTGGGCCACAGGTAAAAGGTGAGCCTCTCCTTGAAGGCCAGCCAGGACTCAGGTTGCCAGATGCCAGTGAATATGCCCGAGATGCTTGCGGATGAGACGTGAGTGCTCCCCATCCACCCTCCTCATCACCCTCCCTCAGTTTAGGAGAACAGATTCCCTCTTGCTCGGTTCTACGGCACTATTAAAGATTTCCATTACTGATAGCTCTTCCCAGTTAGCACTTTCAGTATTAAACTCTGTCATTACAAAGTAAAATATGCATGATCTCTAAATCTATGTGTATTATAACGAGATTTCATTGTTATAAATTTGTCTTCTCGGTCCTCCATTTCTGCCTTTGCTATCTTTTGAAAACTCTCATGTCTGATAGCTGTAGCCAGGGGGTAATTAGGAAGTGGAACTAAAGAATCACAGGCTTATTCTCTCACTTATTCATGGAAATGGTTGGAGCGTCTCTACTAAGATGTGGTCCCACAGCCAGTAGGAAAGGCTGTGGTGACAGCCAATTACAGCACTAAGAAATTTCGGTCTGAGCTGACATGGAGGACCCTTCCCCCACACACATATAAATATGGGATAAAATACAATGAAACAACCAGAAATCGCAGCTGCATTCGAAAGTATGGAAGGAAGGATTCCAGATCCCAAAAACAAGTGGGAATTCAAAGCCAGAGTGGAGAGTGAGAGCTGGAGGGGAACTGCAGCCAGATGCGTGTACTCAGGGCTGGGCTTTTAACACCGAGCAGAGGCTGACACTGAAGCCCACAGCCTCAACGTGGCAGGGGCCAGAAGTGAGACGGGGCATAGAGCTGGGTGCCGAGCTGGGCGAGACTATCCCCACCCAGCTGGGGGAGTGGTGAAAGCAAGAAGAAAATTTGAGTGGAAAAAAGATCATGTGTGAAAGACCAGAACCCAAACCTGTGCCAAGCACAGAGGCGGGGTCTAAAAATTCCCACAGTATGGGAACCACAAATGGAGAAATCCATATGTAAATTGGCTTGAAACCAATGGAACCCAACAGAGGCAAACTTGAACCTTCCCTGAGGCATGCCTCCAGAACCAGGGGGCCCAGAGGAAATAACCACTGCTGAAGATGAGCTCGCACAGAGAAATTACACGGCACGTAAGAAAACAAAGTAAGAGAGTGAGTCTTAAGACTCCACATGGCACCTGGCTCAGCCACCTATGCTGGCCCCAGAATTACCTAAAAACTCCCATTTCTGCCAATCCATTCACCATCATTACCTCTGCAACTCTCATCTAGACACTAGAGAGTGCCTGAGGCCCCCGCCTCTCTTCTTTCCAGTATTATAACACACACACACACACACACACACACACACACACACACAGGTATAAATTCCCTTTCATTTAATCTGCACACTTCACTATTAAGATACAAAGGAGCGCATATCATTCACATCCGTTCTCACCAGCCAGGTGTGCTCCTGGGTGAGGGGGTCTCTACACACCTGGACACCTCCTCACCTGGCAGTGTGGTGAGGATGTTCCAGGGTGGTGACTCTTCAAGTTCAGTTTGGGGTCTAAATCTTGTGAGCCCTAAAAATATCAAGAGTATAGGTTCTTTTTGTTTCCAGAAGTCGATGTCATTTGACAAACTGTCACTTTCACCCACAACTGCTGGTAACCCACCGAGCTATTTATTCTAGGAAATTCAGAAATTGGACATTCAAACTCAATGATCAGAATTGACTGAGAACTCTAATCCACCAAAAAACACCAAACTGACCACCAGGTCACACTCACTTTGCTGTGCACGTGCAGGCCACAGGCGTCCCACACTGGGGCAGGTCGCTGTCCTATCAGGGTATCATCAGTTTAGTCTCGGATGGGTTGAGGTTTGGAATCACTGCTGTCCTTGCTTTTAAATCACAAATCACTCTTGCTTCAGCTTCAGACATCAGCTTAGTGGACAGAAGGCATGTGGATATCTACACAGTTGTAGTGACTTCTGTTTGCATCACCAGAGTTTTTAGCCTGCATTTTCCACTAAGGAGGCCTCAGGATGCATGCCCCTGCACCTGAAACTAATATAATATGTCAGTTACACTCCAATAACTACAAGATGCACACCCAGCAGCTCACATGTCAACCATCCATGTCTCCACCAGCAGGTTACCCTCCATATTCTTCATTTTTACCCCAAGGTCCTTCACTAGTAAGAGGGAGGTTGGTGGGATCGCTGAGTGTTAGCTCTCCTGCAACATGGAAAACAGCCGAGATAAATAAATGTTTGCCCCCTGGGCCAGAGGCACCCATTTCCCTGGGTGTTTGAGACAGACCTACAGCCACCTACACTTCGTGACTTTTGGGGGTAAAATGTAAGTCAAGTCACTTCCTCTTCGGCAAGGAACGGTTGTGGCAATCATGCATTTAGAAAAACACACTGAGCACTTGAGGTGCCTGGCCCAGTGCTGGAAATGAGGCAAAGCAAGAGGCAGCTTTCCTGCCGCCAGGGGACTCAGGGACAGGCACATACACCGGCAGACAGGAAACAGATGAGGACAATGCCAGCTCCTGTGGTTGTGTTAATGCAGTGCCTGTGTCCTCTACTTAGGGAAAAAGAGCACTGATGAACCTCTCTCCTCCTGTTCTCTGTAAGGCTGGCTTCAACCCTATGGACACAGGGCTTGAGGAGCCATCAGAACATCTTCTTCTACAGATGTCTTTGTCCCATGGCCTCCTCTCCTTTTCACAGTGGGGACTGAAATAGTCCCACAAAAGAGCCAAATCCTAACTAACAATGGCAAGAGGAGGATTGCATAAACAAATACAACCACCAGAGGAGAGCTGGGCCTGTGCACTCAGCCCTCCACTTTCCACGTCTGCAGTCGGCCACAGTCATTGCATTCTATAATGATGAGCTTGAACGACTGCCAATCACCGAAGGCGTCCTGGATGAAGAGGAGGCCGACGCCTGTCTAGGGTAAAATACTGTGACAGATGGATTCTAAAAGGGCCCCCAAGGATCCCTACCTCCCAGCATTAGCTCTCCTGTGTAATCCTCTCTCCTTGAGTGTGGGCTGGGCCTACTGACTTGCTTCTATGGAACAGAATGCGGGAAAAGTGATGGGAAGTAACTTGTGAGGTCAGGTTATAAAGGCTGTGACCTCTGCCTTGCGGGCACTCGTGCCTTCCTGGCTTGCTTGCATTGGTGAAATAGGCGGCTGCCTTGAAGAGGCCTATGTGGCAAGGAACGGAGGGAAGCTTCCGGCAGATGGCCTGCCAGGAGCTGAATCCTGCCAACAATCACGGAGTGAGCTTGGAAAGATCCTTCCCGATTGAACCTTGAGATGACTGCAGTCCCAGCCAACTCCTTGATCATAGTGAAGTCACACTGAAGCAGGGGACCCAGTGAAGCTGTGCCTTGATTCTTGCCCCATAGAAACCATGAGATAAGTGAGTGTTGCTTTAAGCTGCTAAGCTTTGGGGAACTTTGTTACTTAGCAATAGATAAATAAGACCGTAACTAATCGGTATGTGATGAATTTACCTGGGCAGAGATATGCAGGCATGTTTGGGGAACTTTTAAACAATACAGATTGGTTCCTCTCTTAAATGCTAGTTAATAAGAATGGACAACCACGAGACCCAGAGCACACAAGGAATTGATCAGAGTAAGAAATTCTTTACATTAGTGGCCGAAGACTAACACGGCCCACAGAGCCCTCTAGGACACTGATTCTAACCAGGGACGGGCATTGGAATCAGCTGAGGAGCCTGGACCCCACCCTGGACCTACTGAAGTAGGATCTCCCCAGGTGGACGGAACCCAGAGCCCTGAATAGTTTTCCCAGATGAGAAAGACTGTATCCCTGGGTGAGAACCACTGATGAGCTCCTGCTCCCCAACCTGACATAACAGAAAATGAAGGGCCAGAGAAGTTACAGGTCTTTTTAAGGTCACAGAGCCTATCGGTAGTAGCCCAGGCCTCTCACCTCCCTTTTCTCTGCTTCGTCCACCCTGACACAAGACCCCAGACCCCCCAGGAGCCCACTCGATGGAGAACTCGGCCTAGCCCTGAGCTAATGTAAGTAAGAGATACACAGAAACTTCTAAGGTTCATTTATTTGTTTCAAAAACAACCTCCAGTCTTCACCTTTCAATTTAGCCCTGGCGTCGTGACAAGAAGGCTTTCTCTCTGGCCTCTTGGGTAAGAAAGAGAAAAACATTAACACTTCCCATTAGATCTCTGTCTCCAGACATCAATTAGGGGCAGACCGGGCCAGGACTGGAACTTTGTGGCATTGAGAACACGTGGGATCTGCCTTGAAGCCCCACGTAGCTTGCAAGCTTTTTCTCCCTGAGAAAGCTGCCCCTGACCTGGGGGGCTCTGCCTCCACCTCCCAGTTCAGGGCATCTGCAATAGTCACGGGCGCTCGCAGCCTGATCTCCAGTCTGCTTCTCATCTGGGGACATGCCACGCCACGGCCCCCACTGGTTCTGGCATGGATCTTCAGTGGCTCACCATGTCCCAGTGCTGGCTCATGAGTGAGGACTCGCAGGGGTTGACGACGACCTCCTTGTCATTCTCAGTGCCATCACCAAACATGTCTGTGTCTAGGCAGAGGTGAGAGGCCATGTGCTCGATGCGGGAGCCAGTCTTGGTCCATTGCTGAGGAGACGGGGAGGAGAGAGGGTGAGCCAGGGCTCTCGGCTAAGGCCAGGTCCTATCAATAATATGAGCAGTTCCAGCAGAATCAGGAATGTTTAAGCACATGGCTAGGGTCACCTCGAGACCTGACTTCACGGTCTCATGGAGAAATAAAACTGCAGCTAATTGCTTTGCCAGGTATTATTGCTGTTTTTTTAATCAGATAAAAAAAAAAAAGTAAAAGCAAAATCAATATGTTTGCTAGGAAAACTCATTAGAAGGGAATAACCTTCCAAGCAATAGTCCAGAAAATATGGAGCGAGTTAGTCGCAGGAGCAACCAAAGAAAGGATCCACACTGGGTGTCTGCATGGTCCCGAGGACTTGGGAGTGAGCTGGTGGGGGTGGGGGAGGGGGGCTCCAGGCAGCATATAAACCTCTGCTCCTCCAAAGTGCTTCAGCACATGGGGGGGCCA